AAACATCTAATTTTAAATATAAAAAATCTAAAATATAAGTAGGATAATCATTAAGTTTTAACAAAATACTTAATATAACCCGAAGCAACCCGATGTCTAATCGAATTGTAAAATTTTCAAACCGTAGGTATTGGATTGATATTGGGTTACTATTATTTGAACCCAACTCAAAGTAGAAAATTAAATGTGATAATGGTGTGAAAATAAATGATGTATCATAAATTAAATAAATAACTATAAGAGTATAAATCGTAAATATTAAAAGTATTTTTTCATAGTATATATAATATATAATAATATAATTAAGTCCAAAACTATTCAATATTGGACTTATTTCGAATGTATTAACGAGACGATTATAACAGTGTAACTTGTTAAGATGAACAAGATGAATAAATGGTATGAGAATGCTTCCTGAGAGGTTAATTTCGTTGTTAGATCTAATTTTAGTTAATATAAAATTATGTTTTTCAATGTGATAATGGTGTAAGACGAAAATTGAAAAAATAAATTATGTACTATAAATTAAATAAATAATTATAAAAGTATAAAATATAAATATTAAAAATATTTTTTCATATTATATATAATATATAATAATAAAATTAATTCAAAAACTATTCAATATTGGATTCATTTCGAAGGTATTAACGAGACGATTATAATGATGTAATTTGTTAAAATAAAAATGTATTTTTTAAACATGTTATAATTGATATATAATTGTGTGTGTTAATTTGATAAGGGTGTAAAATGAAAATTTTAAAATAAAAGGATATAAAATAAATTAATTATCTAATTACAAGGGTATGAAATATAAATTTAAAATTAAAATTTTAAAATATTCGGTGAATGTAAGGGTGTAAGTGAGGAAAAGATGTGAGGATGAGGGGGGTGGGAAATGACGTAAAGGGTGGGGATATCAACCCCTATATTTATACATATGAAAGAGAGGAAGTATTTATAGAGGAGCAGTGCTTCAGGTGTTTTGCGCCAGTGACATCTGAACAAAGAAGAATAAGCAGACTTCTAGCATGACGACCGCCGCACCGCCAAGTATTGCCGGAAACTCCAGATGGTCCCTGGCCGGAAAGACTGCTCTGGTGACCGGTGGTACACGTGGAATCGGGTGCGCAGTGGTGGAGGAACTGGCGCAGTTGGGGGCGGTGGTGCACACCTGCTCGCGCAATGAGGCTGAACTTAACCAACAGTTACAAGAATGGTCCGCCAAAGGCTTCACAGTCACCGGATCCGTCTGCGACATGGCTTCTCGTCCCCAACGGGAACAACTTTTGGAGAAAGTCTCTTCGCTTTTCGGCGGCAAGCTTAACATTCTAGTAAGTTCTTCTATTTCCGACTTTACAGGTCGAATATTCAAGTCTATTAGTTCAGAAGGATCCGATTTAAGACTTCAATTGAATTCTGCTGAATATCGAAGTACTTTTTTCTCTATGACTTTTGAATAATCTGAAGAAAACTTAAAACAAACTGCAAATTTGATTCAAATATGTCTGATCGAACCAGAAATATTAGGTTATCAATTGGATTGTTCTGCTCCATTAAGACCTTTGGTACAGAATCACGCATTTTAGCCAATATTCCTTAAAAACCAATTAATAGAAGCCCGATTTGAGCCTACCAGCTATGGAGATCGCATACGTTTTCGATTCCACCTTGAAACGTATATTGATTTGTTCGTATCAAGACAATTGGGTCAACACAAGACTTTATGTAATAAGCAACCCCACAATTTTACGTGGTTATACATATGAATGGGTTGCTCATGGGATTGGTTGATCGGGTTAAAGACATTTGAATAACCCAACGCAATGTTTGCGGTTTGGAAAAATCTTAACCCAATCCAAACCAAAGTGTAACCCAACCCAACCCAACCCAACCCAACCCATACAGGTTGATCGGGTTGATACTTTGGTATATTAAAATATCTTCTAACTTTGAATATGTTATTTCTCAACTCATAATTTCTTTTTCATCATCAGCCATTTGATACAACTTAATCTATATTTCTTACGTATATCACATTCAATTAATTTTCTCAATTTATATATATGTGTTTACAGTTACTGAACATATATATGAATGAGTTATATAGAGATATGAATAGATTGAAAATATGTGTATATGTAAAGCATACATGATAGTGTAATTGTCTAATGTATATATTAATATAAATTTAACAATCATATTAAATACAAGAAATAAAAGAATATCGGGTTCATCGGGTTGGATTGGGTTCAAATAATATTAACCCAATACCTACGGTTTGACAATTTTACAACTCGTTTAGACATCGGGTTGGGTTATTTTGCGTTGGGTTGATCGGATTGGTCGGGTTTTTGAGCATCCCTGCATATGAAGGACTTAACTAGTCGCACATCACTCTTTTTACCTGATCTTGGAATAATCTGATTTCATCAAAAAGGTCATTCAGACAACACTAACTAGTTACCGATGTAACTTAATCTCCCGTAAAGTTAAAAGGTTCAAATCTCAACAAAAGTAATTAGCGTATTTGAGTTATTTATCGTATTATAGGAAACTCCATTAGTGACCTACCCAATTTATCGTAGAAATTTTCAGCATCAATGGTTGGACCTAACTTGCTTGTAACAAATATCTACGCCTAGCTCGGATTTGATTCTTTTAGTCTATGTGTTCATCATGCATATTTCTTGTTCGGATCATCCTATAGTTTAGCAGTGGGATTCTTATAGTCGATGACCTTACGAACTTTCACCACTTAGGTAAACAATGTTGGGACAAACTACCCGAAACCGACCACAGAGTATACCACCGAAGATTACTCGATGATCATGTCTACCAATTTGGAATCTTGTTACCATATGTGTCAACTTGCACATCCTCTTCTGAAGGCTTCTGGAGTCGGAAGCATTGTCTTCATTTCTTCTGTTGCGGGTCTGGTTCATACTTCAATTGGGTCAATTTATAGTGCCACCAAAGGTAGATATGGTTGCATGATCGCGTTTCAGATTGTATACAATGTCTCGAGAAAGAAAGGTTGTAATAGTGTTTACTTTGCGTCCACAGGTGCAATAAATCAACTTACGAAGAATTTAGCATGTGAATGGGCTGTAGACAATATTCGGAGTAATTCCGTAGCACCATGGGTCATTAAAACCTCCCTTATCGAAAAGGTAATATTATACATGCCTTCGTCATAATTTCCCTTATTTCGACATTGATAATGTCGAGTTCCCTTGTTCTAATTTGAGCTTTATTGGTGGGAAATGTTCAGCTTAAGCAGATTATTGACGGAGATAAGTTCACAAGTGATGTGGAATCTAGAACTCCTTTGAAACGTCTTGGAGAAGCAAATGAAGTGTCGTCTCTGGTGGCGTTTCTTTGCCTGCCTGCTGCTTCTTACATCACTGGCCAAACGATTACTGTTGATGGAGGATTTTCGGTCAACGGTTTCTAACGAGTGCAACATGCCATCTTTTATAATGCTAGAGGACTTCATTTTAGGCAATTGAATAAATACAATCAACAATGTGGTGTTATATTGTTTTATGTAACTTCTTAATAATGTTTAATTAGATATCTATAGCATTGTTTCCAAACTAAAATTTATACTTGATAACATTTACTTTAAGTCGGGACTGTTCTTGGGGAAAGCGGGTCGGGCATACACGGAAGACCCGTTAGAAATAAGAGCCCAAATTTTTTAGAATATAGTATTGTAGTAGTGATCAAAAAATTTAATGAATAAAAGGGACACATTTTTTTAATATCTAATTAGAACAAAAAGGAATTTCGTATTATATTAAAGGTCCAAATATGTATTAATTAATTATATTGGAAAAGAAAATATGTTAACACTAAAAAGTTAATTGGTCGTTTATTTTATATTATTGTTTAGGGAAAAGTCTAAGAAAACCCAATGGACTTTAGTGTTTGGAATGATTAAATATTTGGACAATTTTTTGGAACAAATAAGTCCTTGAACATTTTAAAACATATTAAATAACTCATTGGACTTTCTAAAACCTGTTAGATAAATCTTGTGACCTATACAACTGGTTAATGTGGTAAAATAATGGAAAAAGTCCGGAAAAAAAACCAATGAACATTCATATTTTGAACGATTAAGTCCCTAAATATTTTTTAAACACAAAAAATATTTAGATCTATAAAATTAAAGAAATATAACAAAAAGTATTTACATGTACAAAAAAAATAATTACATTCAAAAAAGATTTTTGATAAAATTTATTTTAATTAAAATTAAAATATATTCTATCAGTAATTTTTCAAATTAAAAAAAATTACTGATTAAATTTA